GGTGTTCCTGCGTTACCTGCTGATATTTCACCCCCACTGAGGGCTGTATGGATCGTTTACCCCAAACCTGCTGCAGTCTGTGCTCGCATTGCACCAGCACCTGGCTGGATCTCCAGAGGGCTTTTGGGAAGAGCCATTTTGGGATGAGCTGGTGGGCATGGAGCCAGTCTTCCTCCCTCCCTCCCAGCCTTTCCATCCTGCTTGCCCAGAGCTTCCTCCATAAAATATCAGTAACATCCACAACACCTTAAGATTTTCTGAAATTCTAACTGTAAAGATCTTTATACTTGTCTGGTAACTTTGGGCATGAAGTAGGGAGCCACAAATAAACCTCATGGATTTGGTCTTTGACTATTTTATTGACGGTTTGTTATTGGGGGAAGGGGGAGGAGACAAGCCTTGAGAAGTGGGCTCATGAATTCCAAGTGCAAGCTTCTGTGCCTGGGTTGGGGCAATCTGTGGTATCAATACAGGCTGGGGGATGATATGATTGAGGGCAATTCTGCTGAGAAGTACCTGGGGTTACTGGTGGATGGAAAGCTGGACATGACCCAGCAATGTGCATTTGCAGCCCAGAAAACCAGCTGTATCCTGGGCTGCATCAAAAGAAGCATGTCCAGCAGGTCAAAGGAGATGATTCTGCTGTTCTGCTCCTCTCTGACGAGACCCCACCTGCAGTGCTGTGTCCAGCTCTGGACTCATCAGCACAGCTGAGACACGGCTCTGTTGGAGTGCGGCCAGGGGAGGCCACAAAAATGATCGGGGGCTGGAACCCCTCTGCTTTGTGGCCTGTAAGTTCTCAATGCGGGCCTGTAAGAAAGATGGGGAGGGGCTATTCTGGTGGGGCCTGTTGTAACAGGACGAGGGGTGACGGTTTTGGGCTAAAAGTGGGAAAATTTGGACTGTAATAGATAATAAGGTAAAAGCAGACATAAATTTTTACACTGAGGGAGGTGCGACACCGGTGCAGGTTGCCCAGAGAAGTGGTAGATGTCCCATGCCTGGAGACATTTAAAGGCCAGGCTGGATGTTGCTCTGAGCAACTGATGTCCCTGCTCACACTGCAGCGGGGTTGGACTGGATGACCGTTAAAGCTCAGGTCGCTCCCAGCCCAACCCATTCCATACCCCGAGCAGTGCTGGGGGGGAGCGCCCCGTCCTAAGGCACAACACACACAGCGACCGATCCCGGAGGGC